TGGACCCCTCACATCCAGCACACTCCCTCTTTGAACTGTTGCCATCTGGTTGACGCTACAGAGCACTGAGCACCAGAACGGCCAGACACAGGAACAGTTTCTTCCCTCAGGCAATCCATCTCATGAACACTTAACAATAACTGTGGAACACACACTATTTATACACTCATACACTTATTTATCTAACACTCATACTCAGTCTACACCTCAAATTTGCACATAATATACCTGTACATACAAAACTGTCTATTGTAATATACCTGCACATACAATTGTCAATTTATATATTTTTATTCCTTATTTACTTGTTCTATTTTAAATTTTTTATTATCTGTGTTTTTTGTTCTGTCACTGTCATTCTGTTACACTGTGGAAGCTTCTGTCACGAAAACAAATTCCTCGTATGTGTAAACATACCAGGCAATAAAGCTCATTCTGATTCTGATGTTCTGCAGTCCTTGGACGGGCAAGTGTCATCTATTTAAAGGTGTTGGGTCATGTGAAGTCTTCATAAGAGGATCCAAGCTGGAGTTGGCATAGTCTCTAGGTACCTCGGGATACTGAAATTTGTAACAACTGTTTGAATTTTTTTTAATTCAGTTCATTCACTAATCAAAGGATGACATGCAATAATTAAAGAATTCTGTAATTATATTTTATGTGCCTTAAAATTCTTACTGTCATTTTTACTGATATCTTGGTGTTATTACGTTTCAAAATAGTTCATTCTTCTTTTTTAAAAATAGACACAATAGTAACCGGGTGCCTAAAAAAATAAGTAAATAAGAGAAAAATGACATGGTCCTTGTGACGAGTGGGGCGGGGCCGAAAGCCGCGGGAACGGAGTGAGGCCGGTGAAATGATAGATAATGAGCGACACCTGCGCTACTCACTGGTCTCGAGTCCCACGGAGGAGCTCTGGAAGGATAAAAGGAGGAGTAACGACAGTAAAGGACGAGAGAGGACCAGGAATGGACTATTTATGTTGTTTTGGTTCTGTTTCTGTGTGGCAGTCGTCCGTGAGGGGCTGTCGTGCTATTTTCAGTTTTGTGTTTATTTTGTTATTAAATTGTTTAAATGTTCGCCAGTTCCCACCTCCTTCTTCCCCGAACTACGAATGTTTGTTACAGTCCAACAGTCTGAGAGAAAAATATTCCAAACGATCGGTGCTTACATTTCCTTAAAACATAGCATGCGTTGCAACTGTTTGATCTTAATTTGTCCAATGATGAACAAAACGTTTTGACGAAGTTATCCCTTAGTCCAATATCAGAGCTTTACTGCCAAGTATGTTTGTACATACAAGTAATTTGTTTTAGTGTCACAAGCTTCCAGTACACAGAGACAACAACAACACACAGATAATAAAAATAAGATGTGAATAAAATACACATGCATAAATATAAACAACAACAAAAAAGAATGAATTGTATGTACATATGTGCTATAAAATAGAATAAAAATGAATAAATAATTAAATAATTAAAAGTTGTAGGTATGTGCTAGGATGTAGGGTGATAAGTATAAGGTTATTGCACGTGCTTTTATTGCACAATTGTAAAACATTTAACTGTTCATGAGGTAGATTGCCTGGTGAAATAAACTGTTCTTGTGCCTGGCTGTCCTGGTATTCGGTGCTCTGTAGTGCCGACCAGATGTCAAAAGTTAAAAAAGGAGATGGCTTGGATGTGAGGGATCCAGAGTGATTTTCTGAGCCCTTTTCCTCACTCTGGATGTATACAGTTCTTGAAGGGTGGGCAGGGGAGCACCAATAATCCTTTCAGCAGTCCGAACCGTTCTCTGTAGTCTTCTGATGTCTGAATTTGTAGCAGAACCAAACCAGACAGTTATTGATGTGCACAGAACAGGCTCAATGATGGCTGAGTAGAACTGTTTCAGCAGCTCATGTGGCAGGTTGAATTTCCTCAGTTGGCGAAGGAAGTACAACATTTGTTGGGCCTTTTTAACAATGGAGTCGATGTGAGTGACCCACTTCAGGTCCTGAGAGATGGTGGTTCCCAGGAATCTGATTGACCCCACTGCAGCCACAGTGCTGTCCATGATGGTGAGTGGGGGGAGTGCAGGGGGGTTCCTCCTGAAGTCCACGATCATCTCCACAGTTTTGAGGTTGTTCAGCTCCAGGTTGTTAAGACTGCACCAGACAGCCAGCTCTTTAACCTCCTGTCTGTAAGCAGACCCGTCCTGGATGAGACTGATGACTAGCGTCATCCGCAAACTTCAGGAGCTTGACAGAGGGGTCTTTAGAGGTGGAGTCATTGGTGTAGAGGGAGAAGAGCAGTGGGGAGAGGACGCAACCCTGAGGGGCGCCAGTGCTGGTGGTGCGGCTGTTGGATGTGAATTTACCAATTCTCACTAGCTGTTGCCTTTTGCTCGGTAAGCAAACTGCAGGGGGTCTAGTAAGGGTCCAGTAATATCCTTCAGATAAGCCAACACCAACCTCTCAAATGTCTATATGACCACAGACATTAGAGCCACAGGTCTGTAGTCATTAAGTCCTGTTATCTTAGGTTTCTTTGGGATGGGGATGATGGTGGAGTGTTTGAAGCAGGCAGGGACTTCACACAGCTCCAGTGATCTTTTGAAGATCTGTGAGAACATGGGGGCCAGCTGGTCAGAACAGGTTTTCAGACATGCTGGTGTTACACCATCTGGGCCTGGAGCCTTTCTTCTCTTGCTCTTTCTGAAGACCTGATGCACATCATCTTCACTGATCTGAAGTGAGGGGGGGGGGTTGCTGGAGGTGTTAATGGTTGTGTGGAGAGATGTTCAGAGCAGGTGTAGGGTGTTACACTGGGAGCTTCAAATCTACAGTAAAACTCATTCAGGTCTTCAGCAAGTTGTTTATTCTCTTCAGTGCTGGGGGATGGTGTTTTGTAGTTGGTGATGTCTTTCAGGCCTTTCCACACTGATGCAGGGTCGTTGGCAGAAAACTGGTGTACTAGCTTTTTAGCGTAATTTCTCTTGGCCACTCTAATCTCCTTATTCAGTGTGTTTCTGGCCTGATTGTACAAGACTGTCCCCCCTTCTGTATGCGTCCTCTTTGGGTAGACGGTCAGTCTGAGTTTTGCTGTAAACCATGGCTTATCATTGTTGAATGTTAAATGAGTCCTGGTAGGGATGCACATGTCTTCACAGAAACTGATAAATGAGGTTACAGATTCCATGAGCTCGTCCAGATTGTTGGCAGCAGCTTCAAAAACACTCCAATCAGTGCAGTCGAAACAGGCTTGTAACGCCCGCTCAGGTTCATTGGTCCAACGAGAAGAAATTCACTATATAGGAGGAAAAACGGAGACAGAAACAAAGAGTACTTCTACAAAACAAACAACTAGCATTAGCATATAACATCCCATAATTTCACCACTAAATAAACTGTATACAAAGTATGTACAAAGTTACACAGTGCAAAAAACTAAGACACTCACATGATTGAGCTAGAAACCTTAGTTTCTCAATCCAAACTCCATTAAGCAGTAAGGTTATGTGAGAAAAAGGCATGATTTCCCTTAACCAAACAGGTGTATCTTACTCTACTGCCTACCTAGGCTACAGCCCCAAACGAAGAACAGCTTATAGGGCCCCCTAGAGCGCAATAGAGGAACTACACACAAAAAATATATAGTAACTGTACTGTAGTCGGTTACGATCTTCCACGTGTAGTTCTTCTGTGTGCTTGTAGGCGTTTTTTCTTTTTTACCCTTTGAGGACCGACTGAAACACTTCCAGGTGTATGCTCTTGTCTGCCGATGGGTACCATCGGTACTTACGCTACTAAAGAAAAACAAGTACCAACAGGATTTTAAAATGCAAATACCGACTTGGTACCATAGTATTGGTTCTCATGACATCCCTAGCCAGCACTAACTCAGATTGAAAATCTGCAAGTTCTTTGATAAAGTCTGTATGGTGCCCTGCTGGCCTGAATACAGTAACCAGTATAAATGTCACAGGGGATTTAGCATTAACACTTGTAAATAACATGCTTTTGTGATCAGATGTGGCTTCTTGTCACAGAATAAGGTGGAAAATATATTTTATACTGTAATAAAGGTTATACATATACTTATTTGTGAAAATACCCCAGATGGCTTAAAGAACACAGATTGACCATATACCATATTGAAAGTATCGATTTGGCACCCAGTATCGTAAAAAAAACAAAAAAAAACAATACCCAATCCTATCCAAGAGTAGCCATAATTAAGAGTAGACTTAAAACATCCTTACCTGTGCATTCTCTTACTAAAGATGCATCAAATAGTTCAATGCAATGTTAATTACTTCATGCAGTTCACCATTTTATTTAGAATCATTTAGTTACATTGTGGCATTTTGCAGGAAAACAGAAATATATTTAGATTCCAAGTTACCAGTAAACGGAATGGCACAAAGTCTCCATACAATCCAAATTAGAGTGCATCCACTGTAATATTTGATACATATAGGTGTGGATACAGGAGATCATATATATACAGTGGGTACGGAAAGTATTCAGACCCCCTTAAATTTTTCACTCTTTGTTATCTCAAGACAAGTATTAAAAAGTGAAGAATACAAATAAAAGACATGGCTATGAAGGTAGGGATGGGAAAGAGTAATAAAGAAAGTGGTGGAGAAATGGAGGATCTTTCCCCTTCTACTGACTCACACGCAACACCATAATCGATACAAAACAGAATAAAATTTATTGAACAAGCAAACAGAACTTCAGGAGGGGTCAAGGCCAACATAATAAACAGAACATACTAACTCCCAAAAACAATCTACCTAATCTAACAAATAAAAGAAAAAACAATACAAAATAATACTCTAACTCCCTTGCTTTCCTTAAACACGAGAAAAAGTGGTCAAAATAAGTGGCAACCACCTCCCTACAGCTTCCCACCCAAAAAAAAAAAAACTAATAAAAAAAATTAAAAAAACTTGTTCTTAACAAATAAAGAAATCCTCCCAAAAGAGGATTAAAGATCGTTTAACACATTTTTGTCAACAACAAGTGAACCACAAACAAAAGAGAAGTCAGCAAAAGGGACTCTTGCTCCAAGCATCTCAGCTCTGCCTTTTAACTCCAAACATTTCCTCTAGTGGGCCAATCAGGATAGTGCAGTCATCAGCAGAATCATCAACTAATTGAACTCCACCTGTTAGTCCTCATCAGCGTTTGAGAGAGAGAAAAGCAAAACAACACAAACCGAGCACATGCACAAAAGAGACACTCCCACTTATATAGGTCCTGGGACGTCACAAATAGTTCAATGCAATGTTAATTACTTCATGCAGTTCGCCATTTTATTTAGAATCATTTAGTTACATTGTGGCATTTTGCAGGAAAACAGAAATATAATATTTAGATTCCAAGATACCAGTAAACGGAATGGCACAATGTCTCCATACAATCGAAATTAGAGTGCGTCTACTGTAATATCTGGAACATTAGGTGTGGATACAGGAGATCATACATATATATATATATATATATATATATAAAAAAGCCTCAAGACAAGTATTAAAAAGTGAAGAATACAAATAAAAGACATGGCTATGAAGGTGCTTCATGGCTTCCTCCAGAATGAATATGTTGCCGATTTTTGAAATGGTAAACCTCGTCACAGTCACACTTTATTTCCAGAATGATCTTGAAAGGCCTCTCTCCAGCGTGTACTCCTATATGAGTCTTCAGGTTTCCTTTGACTGTGAAACACTTTGCACAATGATGGCATATGAAATAGTTAGAGTATAAAATAGAATAGAGTGAAATCTCATGTGGGTTTCTTCACATAATTCCACACATATTTCATGTGAATATTAAGATTTTCTATTTGTGGGATGCTCTTCCCACAGGCTTCCTGTGTTTATTAATGTGAGCACTGAGGCTAGCTTTATGACTGAAACTCTTTCCACACTGAGCACATTTACAGCATTTCACTGCTGAATGAGTCTTCATGTGGTAATTAAGGCTTATCTTACGTACAAAACCCCTTCCACACTGATCACATTTGAAGGGTTTCTTTCCAGTGTGCCTAATCTTGTGACACTTAAGGCTAAATTCTGTTGCAAGGTTCTTTCCACAACGATCACATGTGAACAGCTGCTTTCCAGTGTGAATTCTCATGTGGTAATTACGGGTGTATATATGTGTGAAACTCTTCCCACAATACTCGCAAGAGTAAGGCTTCTCTCCGGTGTGAACTCTCATGTGTCCTTTAAGGCTTTGTTTTGCAGGGAAACTCTTTCCACACTGTTCGCATGTGTAAGGCTTCTCTCCAGTGTGAATACTCATGTGGAAATGAAGGGAGTATAAATGTGTGAAACTCTTTCCACACTGACGGCAAGCGTAAGGCTTCTCTCCTGAGTGAGTTCTCATGTGACTTTGAAGGTTTGCTTTTTGAGTGAAACTCTTCCCACACTGCTGGCAGGTGTAAGGCTTCTCTCCTGAGTGAGTTTTCATGTGATTATTAAGGGCTCCTTGTTGAGTAAAACTCTTTCCACACTGTTGGCAGGGGAATGGCCTCTCTCCAGAGTGAGCTCTCATGTGATTATTAAGGGCTCCTTGTTGAGTAAAACTGTTTCCACACTGCTGGCAGGTGAATGGCCTCTCTCCTGAGTGAGTTCTCATGTGACTTTTAAGGTGTGCTTTTTGAGTGAAACCATTTCCACACTGCTGGCAGGTGAATGGCCTCTCTCCTGAGTGAGTTCTCATGTGACTTTTAAGGTGTGCTTTTTGAGTGAAACCATTTCCACACTGCTGGCAGGTGAATGGCCTCTCTCCTGAGTGAGTTCTCATGTGACTTTTAAGGGCTCCTTGTTGAGTGAAGCTCTTTCCACACTCTTGGCAGGGGAATGGCCTCTCTCCATTGTGAACTTTCACGTGCATTTGAAGTTTTTGTTTTTCACCGAAACTCCTCCCACAATGACGGCAGGTGAAATGGCTGTTAGATTTGGTTTTCTGAGCTCTTTTTCGTTTGGAAGTCGTTTTAGTCTGTGTGGCCTTTTCACCAGTTATGACATCATGGTGTTTCTCATACTGATCTGTCTGTTCCATTTCATTCGGATCTTGATTCTCCTCTTTCAGCACCAGCAGGTCTAAAGCAAAAAAAGATAAATACAAGTTAACCACAGTTTAAAGCCACAAAGCAAAAGATGTGAAAACCAACATGAAAGCATTTAAGGCCGGGACAAAAAAAGACAAAAACAAGTTAACCGCAGTTTAAAGCCACAAAGCAAAAGATGTGAAAACCAACATAAAAGCATTTAAGGCGGGACACACCAAGCCGACTTCAAAGAACTAGCAGCGACAAAAGCTGATGCTGTTGTTGCCTCATCTCGACAGGGTCTGGACCAAAAAGCTGCGCTTGAACACACCGCTCAGACTACAACTGACTGCAAACTGACGTCGGTTTCACACCGCACGCGTAAGCAGCACATATTTTTTTCGGCGCCCATGTTAACAGATCAGAGTATTCACACCGCACACAGAGGCGGCACGTAGCAGGAGCAGAGCAGAAGTGGCAGTGTCGCGATCGTTTTGGCGCCAAGTCTATTTTTGCTGCGCCACTTACGCTGGAATAAAGCCACAGTGCATAGAAATAAACACGAAAATTAACAAATTCCACCATAAAATCAAATAAGTGAGCTGTACTTCACAAACACCACATGACATTTAGTGCTGTGAAAAAAATAGACTTAATTTCAAAGGCTCGTTTAAATGATTAAAACTATATGGTTTATATGTATATGTATATCTTGACGTTAAGATTACTTTTAAAAAATCTAATCAAATCACTTTTATTGTCACATCACCACAGCACATGTGCCTTGGTGAGTGAAATTCTTGGGAGCGTGCTCCAGACAGTGCAGAAATAATTTACATATAGACATACTTACAGACTTATATAGATGACAATGTTCAATATACACATACATATACTCAGTACAAAGTGTACTATTAGACATTCTTACAGTTAGCAATACACATTATACACAGAATGTACATATTCTGCATTATGTACACAAATATACTCACAAAAATATGCGAAGGTGCAGCAGATTATACATGAACTGGATAAGCAAAATGTCATGGATGTGCACTGGATGGTATCCAGTGGTAGCAGATAGATTATTGTATTAAGTGCAGTGTGTACGTATAGTCCAGTACTGAACTGTGTTGGAGTTAAAGTGCAGTGTGTGGCATACCGTATTGTGGGAGTATGCTGTAGGGTGCTGTAGGGTGTATTAGTTCTGACTGTTCATTAGTCTGATAGCCTGAGGGAAAAAGCTATCCTTCAGTCGGCTAGTGCGGGATCGGATGCTGCGGAGACGTCTTCCTGAGGACAGCAGAGAGAGGAGTCTGTGGGACGGGTGGCTGGAGTCACTGATGATCCTCCGGGCTTTCCTTATACACCGCCTGGTGTAGATGTCCTGAAGGGTTAGGCAGTTCGCACGACCCTTTGCAGAGCTTTGCGGTTGCCAGCCGTGTTGTTTCTAAACCAGGCAGTGATGCAGCCAGTCAGGATGCTCTCCTCAGTGCAGGTGTAGAATGTTCTGAGGATGCTGGGGCTCATGCCAAACTTCCTCAGCAGTCTGAGGAAGAAGAGGCGTTGATGTGCCTTCTTCAGCACTGCATCTGTGTGAGCGGACCATGTGAGATCCTCATTGATGTGAACGCCGAGGAGCTTAAAGCGGTTTACCTGCTCCACAGGTGTCTTGTCAACGGTGATGGGTGTGTTCTCTGCTCTGTCTCCTGAAATCCACCATCAGCTCCTTGGTCTTGTCGATGTTGAGAGAGGTGGTTCTCCTGACACCATTTAGTCAGGGTGCTCACCTCCTCTCTGAAGGCTGTCTCATCGTTGTCGGCGATCAGGCCTATCACCGTTGTGTCGTCAGCGAATTTGACGATTACGTTGGAGCTGTGTGTGGCTGCACAGTCATGTGTGTACAGGGAGTACAGGAGTGGGCTGAGGACACAGCCCTGAGGAGCGCCAGAGTTGAGGGTCAGCAGGGATGAAGTATTGTTGCCCATTCTCACCACCTGACTTCAGCCTGCCAGGAAGTCCAGGAACCAGCTGCACAGAGATCTGTTTAGTCCCAGAGTCTGGAGCTTCGCAACAAGTGTGGCAGGCACTATGGTATTAAATGCTGAGCTGTAGTACACAAACAGCATTCTCACATAGGTGTTCTTATTTTCCAGGTGGGAGAGAGATGTGTGTAGGTTGAAAGCAACTGCATCGTCTGTGGAACGATTGCTATAATATGCAAATTGTAGTGGATCCAGTGAAGCAGGCAGCATAGAGCAGATGTAGTCTCTGATGAGTCTCTCAAAACACTTGCTGAAGATGGGTGTCAGAGCAACGGGCCTCCAGTCATTCAAGCATGTGATTTTATTTTATTTTTTTGGTATGGGCACAATGGTGGATTTTTTTGAAGCACGAGGGAACCACAGACAGAGAGAGGGAAAGGTTGAAAATGTCTGTGAAAACCCCGGCTAGTTGGAATGCGCATGCTCGGAGCACACGGCCTGGGATGCCATCAGGACCCGCAGCCTTGCGGATACTCACCCGTCGGAAGGATCGGGTTACATCCAGGACAGAGACGGAGAGTGCACTCACATCTTCTGCAGCAGCCGTGCGAGCACTCTCTGTGTGGGCGGTGAAACGAGCATAAAAATTATTAAGCTCATCCGGTAGAGAGGTGGCAATGTTCACAGTAGCTGGTTTAGTCCCTAAAATCTGTGATGTTACTGATGCCCTGCCACATGCTTCTTGCGTTGTTGGTGTTGAATTGTTCTTCAACTTTGTTTTTATATTGTCTTTTTGCGGCTTTGATGGATTTCCTGAGATCGTAACTGGCTTGTTTGCGATCGTCAGCGTTTCCGGATTTAAAAGCAGATGTCCACGCTGACAAAGCTGCTCGAACATCGCTATTAATCCACGGTTTTTGGTTGGGGTAGATGCGGATTGTTTTTGACGGCTGTGACGAGAGGGGCGGGGCCGAGAGCCGTGGGAATGGAGCGAGGCCGGTGGAGTAAATGCTACCGCGAGGGGCTGCCGCTTTACTTTCATTTTGTGTTTGTTTAGTTTATTAAAGTTTGTTTAAATGTTCGCCGGTTCCCGCCTCCTTCTTCCCGATCTACAAACGTTGTTACAATGGCATTACGTCTTCTACGCACTTCCTGATGAAACACGTTACAGTATCCGAGTATGCCTCTATGTCCTAATCAGACACTGCCCGGAACATGTCCCAATCCATGTGATCAAAACAGTGAGGGCGGGTGGTTCCCGTTTCAGTTTCTGCTTATAAGCAGGCAGGAGCAGAATGGAAGAGTGATCCGATTTGCCGAAAGGTGGGCGGGGGAGGGATTTGTAGGCGTCCCGGAAAGGAGAGTAGCAGTGGTCCAGTGCACGATCACCACGCGTGTAGGCAGGCCCGGACTGGCCATCGGGAGCACCGGGTGAATTCCCGGTGGCCTGGCGTCTGATTTGGCCCGCTGCCCTGTTTTTTTATTTAAGTTATTATTATTATTATTATTATTATTATTAATAATATTTGATATTTTTGCCTTCTCAGTGTACCAAACTGATCATTTCCGATTTTGTCATACGATAATAAATAGATAATAAATCATAAATCGGTTAGGTCTTCACTGGCAGCGCTGCGCTATACGAATCGACTCACATCTGTTCCGCGTTTCAAACGATGGTTTCGAACAGAGTCGATGCGCGGTACTAGATGAAGGAGAGGAAGCGGCCAGAAGAAGCAGTGAAATGTAGCAAAAATGCCTGTTCAGGGCTTCAGGTGCACGTCAGTTTCATTTGTAAATACGCTAAAGAGTTTTGTCTTTATTAACCTAGTTGAATATTAAACTGATAGCACCTGGTTGTTAGGCTATCAGGGGCACCCTGTTTTTAAAGGGGTCATATGATGCTTTTTTTAAAGATCATTATTTGGTGTATTTGGTGTAACAGAATATGTTGACATGCTTTAATGTTCAAAAAACACACTTTAACATCATTCAGAATACTGTTCTAAAGGATCATTATCGATTGGAAAGTTACATTAATAAATTTAGCAGACCGATATTCTCATGGATTTATTGTATAGGAAGGGAGGGAGCTTGAGCAGACAGCAACACAAACATATCACAGCCTAATAATGCAATAGTGTGTTCAGTATTAGGATTTTTCAAAAAATATATTGTACTGATTTGGACTTTTAGGCACTTTAGAATTTTTTTTTTTATATATTTGTATGAAATATAGGTTTGTCAAATCTCGGGTATTTAAGTCATTTTAAGATAAATAACATTCTGTGATAAACTGCAATGAGGTGGTCGTTTTGCAACAAGGTGGACACAGTTCTGTTCATAACAGTAGACCTGCTGGCCAAGAAGTGACAGGTACAATAAAAAAAAAGGGAGAGACAGAGATATTGGGGGAAATGAAGAAAAGCAAAAAAGGGAAGTGCAGGTGCAGTTCAAGAGACAACCTTTAGTTATTTTTCAAGGCCCCAGACCAAGGATTTAGACCTTTTTATGTGATGGCTATTTAAATAATAGGGTTATCTGTGGTTTCAGAATTTGTAGTGGGTCAATAGGCTATAAACAGAAAAAAGAGGCCAAAATGGTACCTTTTGGGGTACAACAGCATGTCACTGGAGCAGTACCCTTAAAAAGGAAAGGACGTCTTTTCGCCTTTTACCCCTAATAGGTAAATCATAGTATACCTTATGTGTACGAATTACTATAAGGTACTAATATGTACCTCTTAGGGTACAAAAAAGGTACGAAGATGTTCTTTTAAGGGTACTGCTCCAGTAACAAGCTGTTGTACCCCAAAAGGTACCATTTTGGCCTCTTTTTTCTGTGTGGCCTGGATGAGTGTGAGATTTCCCGGCCTGAAATTTGGCGCTTTTCCACTGCGTGGTACGACTCGGCTCGGCACGGCACGGATCGGTTCGGCTCGGTTCGGCTCGGTTTGCGTTTCCACTGCAGTTTAGTATCGCTTTAGCGTGGGCGGGATTATTCACATGTCGTTATAGTTGCGCCGCCTCTACTGCTGCGACTCCTAAAAAACTTTTTCATTCCACGT